AAGAAGAAGGGGGAGAAGGAGGAGGGAGGGAAGGCTTCACTGGTGAATTCTACCGAATGTTGAAAGATTTAATGCCAAATCACCTCATAAACACTTCAAAAAAAAAATTCAGAACAGTACGCGTCCCAGCTGATTCTAGGAGGTCAGAAACATATTAAAAAGGATTATAAACCATGAAAGGAGCCTTGGTGGCACAAGGGTTAAGATCCTGGCTGCTAAACAAAAGGGTGGCAGTTTAAACTCACCCAGCAGCTCCAAGGGAGAAAGACCTGGCGAACTGCTCTCATAAAGATTACAGCTTAGAAAACCCTATGGGGCAATTCTACTCTGTCACATGGGGTCACTATGAGTTGAAAATCAACTAAACAGCACCTAACAACAATGGCAGCATACACCATGACCAAGTGGGATTTATCCAAGAATGCAAAGTTGGTTCACCAGACAAAAAAATCAATGTATTACACCGTATTAACAGAACAAAGGGGGAAAAAAAACCATAATCACCTCAATTAGACACAGAAAAAGAATTTGAGAAAAGTCAACACCATTTCTTGAAAAAAAACACTTCACAATCTAGGAATAGAACAGATCTTCCTCAAACAGATGGTATTCTCTTATATTTTTTATTTCTGTGTGACTGGTAGTAATTTCCACACAAATAACTAAAATCAGAAATGAATCTGAGGATATTACTACCAGTATACAGAAATAATAAGTATTAGAAGAGAACACTATGAACAATTAGACATCAACAATTTAGATAATCTAGAAGAAAAAGAAGAATGAAATTGGACCAGTACCTCACACTGTATACAAAAATTCACTCAATATGGATGAAAGACCTAAATGTAAAAGCTAAAATTATAAAACTCTTATAAAAAAACATAGGTGTAAATCTACATGGCCTTGGATCACTATAGCAAAATTGAATAGTCTTGCCACAAAAAGCAATAACTAATTAGAGCAGGTAATATAAAATACCCTATTCAAAACAGCAACCAAACCCCAAAATTACCTAACAGGAAATTTCACAAAAATGTACAAGATCTTTCTGAAGACAACTATAAAAGTTTACTGATAGATTCAGGTAAAATTAACAGTCCAAAACAAATACAGCAGTATGCCAGATTCATTGATAGGGAACAAAATACTGTAAAGATTCCAATTCTCCTTAAATTATTTACAGATTTAGTGCCTTACCTGTAGCTGCCAAGATGTCAATCAAGCTCAGGCTGCTCTCCTCTGCTCCCAAAGTTAATCCAGGAAAACTACAGAATGGAGAATAAAAAGTAAACGTGTATGTATATACGCGTGTATGTACATTTAAAATACATAATCTACCACTAGATTATATATATATATATATGCATGTATATATACACTTTTTATCTGAGAAGGCGCAGCATCATCTGAGGGGGCTGGAGTAGAATCGGTAGAGGGAGAGGCCAGCCCTGCGGGGGGAGGGGGGAAGTGAGGAGCCCGAGGGAGGACAGAGAGGTCCTCCAGAGCAGATAGAGGCTCCCTTCCCATCCTCCAGTGCGCCACCCCTCCTCTCTCCGTGCTTCCCTAGCCTCGCCCTGCCCCTGCAGTCAGCCCTGGGAAGCCCCAGGCAGGGTCCTCTGTTGTGGAGTGGTGCCTTGGGCGTTTGAGGAGGCGCTGCGTTGTTTGAGGGGGCCGGAGCCAGCTCAGCAGAGGGAGGGATCCAGGCCCTGCTGGTGACAAGGTGAGGACCCCGAGGGAAGACAAAGGCCCCCACTCCCCCGCATGCCACCCCTCCTCCCTGTGTGCTCCCCTAGATCCTCCTACCCCACCCCCGCCTCTGCCTTCATCCCTGGGAAGCCCCAGGCAGGTTTCCGGGATGTGAAGTTGTGCCTTGGGCATCTGAGGCGTCACAGCTTCATCTGAGGGGGTTGGAGTCGGGTCATCGGAGGAAGGGGTCCAGGTCCCGCCGGGAGGAGGGGGCAAGGTTAGGACCCTGAGGGAGAACAGAGGCCCCCACCCCCCCATGGCATCCGTCCTCCCTCTGTGCTCCCCTAGATCTTCCTACCCCACCCCCGCCTCTGCCATCATCCTTGGGAAACCCCAGGCAGGTTTCTGGGATGTGGAGTTGGGCCTTGGGCGTCTGAGGAGATGTGGTGTCATCTGAGGGGGCTGGAGTAGGGTCAGTAGAGGGAGGGGGCCAGACCCTGTGAGGTGGGGGCAAGGTGAGGACCCCGAGGGAGTATAGAGAGGTCCTCCAGCGCAGATAGAGGTTCCCCTCCCATCCTCCCATGCGCCACCCCTCCTCCCTCGATGCTCCCCTAGCCCCACCCCACGACCCTGCTGTTATCCCTGGGGAGCCCCACGTAGGGTCCCCAAATGTGGAATTGCGCTTTGGTTGTCTGTGGAGGTGCGGCGTCATCTGAGGGGCCGGAGTCGGGGCAGCAGAGGGAGGGGTCCAGGCCCTACCGGGGGACAAAGTGAGGACCCCGAGGGAGGACAAAGGCCCCCACTCCCCCCATGCCACTCCTCCCTGTGCACTGACTCCCTAAACCCCTCCCCCCGCCGTCATCCCTGGCAAATCCGATCCAGGGTCCCCGGATGTGGAGTTGGGCCTTGGGCGTCTGAGGAGGTGTGGCTTCGTCCGAGGAGCCCAGAGTCGGGTCAGCAGAGGGAAGATTCCTAGGCCCTGCTTGGCATCAAGGTGAGGACTCTGGGACAAGACAAAGAGGTCCTCCGCCACAGGTAGAGGCTCTTCTCCACTCCACCCCACCATGTCCCACCCTGTCTTTCCTCTCTCTGCACTGCTCCTCCTTCCCCCCCATGCCACTATCCCTCTTTCCTTTGTGCTCCCCTATTCCCTCTCCGCTGCCCTGCTTCTTCTTTAAGCCCTGGGAAGCCCCATGCAGGGTCCTTGGATGTGGTGTTATTCTGACTTGCGCCTTGGGAGTCTGAGGAGGTGCGGCTTCCTCTGAGGATCCCAGAGTCAGGTCAGCAGAGGGAGGAGCCCAGGCCCTAGGAGACCAAGGTGAAGACCTTGAGGGGATCCAACAGAAATCTGCCCTTGGTGTTAGTGCTATGAAGCCCTAGGCAGGACCATCAGGCAGAGTCACCACCCTTCACTTCCTCTTGGAGGGTCTCGGGAAAATGGGGGCCTTGGCCTGAGGGACACACCCTTGGTTTAGCAGAAGGGAAGGGGCCCAGGCCCTGTCATGAGTAAATATGAATATCTTGACTGAGATAGTGAAGGTACCCCCACCCCAAATGGAGCCTTACAGAAACACCACATCCTTGGCACTAGCCTTGGGAGGTCTGGGACAGGGGTGGCCAGATATGATGCTGCCTCACTTTTGTCTAGAGGGTCTCAGGGAGGCAAGAGTTATTGTCTGAAGAGACATAAGAGACCACACCAGGTCAGAAGAGGAAGCCACATGAGGTTAGCAGAGGGAGAAGTCCAAGGTTCTGCGATAGTTAGGATGTTGAAGAATTGAGGGACTGCAGATTTGAGGGTGCCCCAGATCCATCCCTGGTGGGAATCGAGTTAAGGACCTCATGAGGACCAAAGGTAACCCTCACCCCAGAAAAGAAGGGTACCCACAGAATCCAGCTGTCTCTCTGTGCTCAGCCCTGCCTGGAAGGACCCAGACAGGGGTGGCCAGATGTGGTGAGCTCTTCTGTCTAAGACAGAGTGGGGTGAATGTCTCAGAGAGGGGGCAACATCAAGTCAGAATGGGGGCCAAGGCCCTGTCAGGAGTAAAGATAAATAACCTGAGGAAGGACTAAGGGTATTCTTCACACCAGAACATATGAATCCAGACCCTGATATCACTACTTGGAAACCTAGGAAGAAGTGGTTGGATTTGGTGCCGCCTCATGTTTGTCTCAGGGTCTTGGGAAGGTGAGGGCCTTGGTCTGAGAGGAACATCAGGTTATCAGAGAAAGCCACATCAGGACAGCACAAGGAGTCGTTCCAGGTTTTGCTAGGTGTCAAAATACGGACCCACTCCCCCCACCCCCCAGTCTAGGGTAGATGGGCCCTCAGCCCTGCCCTGCCCCTGTTGACAGCTCTGGGAGGCCCTGGGACTTAGTAGCTGAACCCTTTGTGGTCGATCTTCACTCCTGTCTTGTCTGAAGGACCTGGACTGCCATCACAGAGGGAGGAGTCCCACTCCCGTCCATGCATAAATATAGGACTAAGGGGAACCATGCTCTATTTCAGTATAGATGAGACCATAATCCCTGTTCTACTCCTGCTGTCACCTCTAGGAGGACGGGGTGGGGGCAGAGTCCTTGGATGTGGTGCTCCCTCACTCCCTTTTCATTGGTCTCAGGAATGTGAGCTCTTGTTCTGAGAGTTTTTCCTCAGGTCAGCAGAAGAATAGGGCCCAGACCCTCCCCCATCCTCAGGGAGAAGTGAGGACCATGAATTAGCACTGAGGAGACCACCCACCTCTGAACTGTGGAGACCTCACAGAGTCCATCTCCTCCCCTCCTGCCAGTGCTAGGAGGCCCAGGACTGTGCTTGCAGTCTGAAGCCTCAGCTGCACCCTCATTTTTTCTCAAAGGTTTTAAAGGAACTGAGAGGTGAAGGTGTTGGTTTTGGGCACACATCTTCAGGTCAGAAGAGGAGACCCAGGCACTGCCAGGAGTCAAGGTGAGGACCCTGAATTCTACCAAGACCCCGCACCCACCCCAGAACAGAAGGGACACTACAGTGTCTGACCCTACCTGCCTTACTGTCAGCCCTGGGAACTTGAGGCTGTGTCAGTGGGCTGCACCCTAAGGAGCCATCTCACTTCTTCCTTCAGGTTCTTAAGTGGCAGGCTGACCAGGCAGACAGGAGACAGGCCCTACAGGGAGATCTAAACAGAAAGACCTGTAACTCGGCCTTTGTCAGAGCTGCCAAGGTTGAGTTTCTCAGCTGAGGTTCTCATACTCTTCGTCTCTTCATTAGGCTTGTGGACTCCCATCTCCCATCCAGCTGCCCACACTCCTGTCTGCTGCCCCCAGCAAGACTCATCATGTCTCATATTCGTGCTCCAAAGCGTCGGCGCTACACAGTTGAGCAAGACCTTCAGAATGAAATGGAGGCACAGGGTTCACAGGTTCCAGCAGCTGAGGAGGAGGAAGAGTCATTACCTTCTTCCTCCTCCTTCAACTTCCTCTTTCTCCCTGGCTCTTCTTCCTCCTCTTCCTCTTCTCTGATTCGAGGAACGGTGGAGGAGGTGTCTGCTGTTGGGACACTGAGTACTTCTCAGAGTTCTCAGAAAAGCACCTCCTCCTCTTCAGATGACGGTTCCATCACCCATGAGGGGGAGGGTCCAAGCACCCTGCTGGGCCAGGCAGATATTGAGTCCTTGCTCAGAGACACAGTAGATTATAAGGTGGCTGATTTGGTGGAGTTTCTGCTTCTCAAGTACCAAACAAAGGAGCCTGTCACAAAGGCAGAAATGCTGACGACTGTCATCAGACAGTATGAGGACTACTTCCTAGTGATATTCAAGAAAGCCTGTGAGTGCATAGAGCTTGTCTTTGGCATCAATATGAAGGAAGAAGACCCCACTGGAAACTCCTATGTCTTCTACAATACTCTAGACCTCACCTATGATGGGATCCCAAGTAATGACCAGGGCATGCCCAAGACTGGGCTCCTGGTACTTGTCTTGAGTATGATCTTTATGGAGGGCAACTGTGCCACTGAGGAGAAGCTCTGGGAAATGCTGAATACAACAGGGGTGTATGCTGGAAGGGAACATGTCATCTATGGCGAGCCCAGGCAGTTCATCACCAGAGATTTGGTGGAGGAAGAGTACCTGGAGTACCGGCAGGTGCCCAACAGCGATCCTGCCCGCTATGAATTCCTGTGGGGTCCAAGAGCCCGTGCAGAAACCAGCAAGATGAAAGTCCTAGAGTTTTTGGCCAAGGTCAGTGGTAGCATCCCAACTGCCTTCCCATCCTGGTATGAGGATGCATTGAGAGACGAAGAAGAGAGAGCCAAGGCAAGAGTTTCCACCATGGATACTACTACTGTGATGGCCAGTTCGAGTTCCAGTGCTGCATCCAGCAGCTTTTCCTGCCCCCAGTGAAGACTGAGGCAGATTTTTCACTCTGAAGATGGCAGTCAGTGTAGTAAGTAGTGGAGGTCCAGGGTGGGGCTGGGGAAACACAGTGCGTAATATCTTTGTCTTCCTCTTCTATATGGGTGAGTTGAAGGGTTATCATTTTTTTTTCCTGTTTGGTATTTTCCAAATGCTGTTCCTTTAATAGCAAGTATGATTAGTTCAGAGTCTAAGTTTATGAATAAAGTTGTTGTTAGCTTCCATCAAGTCAGCCTCCGACTCATGGCAGCCCAAGCCACAACAGAACCAAATGCTGTCTCTAGGATTGGTTGCAGATTGGTCCTGTGTGATGCATAGGGTTTTCATTGGCTGATATTCAGAGGTAGATCGCCAGGCCTTTCTTCTTAGTCTGCCTTAATCTGGAAGCTCCCCTGAAGCCTGTTCAGCGTCATAGCAACACGCAAGCCTCCAAAGACAGATGGGTGTTGTCTTCCCATGAGGTGCATTGTCAGAGAATCGTCCAACCTGGGTCTCCTGCATGTAAGGGAGAATTCTAACATTGAACCATTGCTGATGCCATTAATCAAACATCATTTCAGTTTATCTGGTTAAAGAGTTAAGTTTTGTTATTTGTGAAAGAAATTGGGAAACCTCCCATCTTGTTTTGTGTTCTATAACAAGATAACAAGGAATTGGAATAGGAATTTCCTTTTGCAGTGTGAAAGAACCCAGCAGTAAAATAAAGAAAAAAGATAAAAGATGATTAAGTTTTGGATTTCCTTATTGCTTTTAGTTGTCATTCTCTACAATTAAAAGATATATATGGATTTGAATGAATGTAGGAGAAATTACATCTTAATAAATGAAAGACCCTGCTCACGGGCTCGTTTATTCCCCAAACAAGAACTGAGCATCTGCTCTGTGGAAGGCATGGTGTTGGTGGGGGGATCCTAGGATAAGCAAGATGCGCCCCCACACATAGAACGGTAGAGTGGTAGATTGATATTAGCAAGCTGGTGAGAGACCCTCTAAGACCTAAAGACCAAGTAAAAAGAAGGATGAGGAGGTGGGGCGGGGGCGGGGGCTCTGAATGGGAGCAGTCTATTGTAAAGTGTAAATGCCCTGAGCTAGACAGTTTGGGGATCTGGGAAACTGCAGTTCCTTCTGTGGGAGTTAAGCTGGAGGGGGCAGGGGCAGACTCTCAGGTAGCATGCTTTACAGTTGAGAGAAAGTGGAATAGGAAGCTGCTCTTAGTTGCGTTTGGACCTTTATGTACATCATCTGCAAGGATTTCCTGAGAAAGGCGATAGTCCCTTGAAGTGATGCCCAGAAACCACTAGCCTGGCACCTTTTTCTCCGGCCTAGGAGAGCCAGAGCCTACTCCGTTAAAAGGACATTGGAATTATCTTGGGTCCGGTTTGGCCAACTTTAAGAATGGCTAGGTTGTTGATCAGGGTGAAATGAATGAAAATATGGTTTGGATGGAAGAGAGTGGCTGGGACGGAAGGAAAGAATTGGTCCTTGACTCAAATTCTAGGAACTTTTAAGAGTTGCATCCTGCTAGTGAAGACCCCTTCACACACACCCAGTTAACATATCCTTCACGTGGGAAAATTTACTTAGTTTAATTTATGACAACATTTTTTCATTGGTTTTACATTCTGTGTTGTATTGAGCTGCATATTCTCTGAGTTACCCTGGATTAAAAAAAAAGTGAGTGGTAGGGCCTGGGGTCAAAATAATACTAGATAATTACTACCATTCATTAAATATTCAATATATGCCACGCACTGTGCCAGGTGCTTTACATATATAACATACATTCCAATAGTTCTACAAGAGGGCTTATCAAACCCACTTCACAGTAAAGAACTAAGCTTTATAGCCCTTGGCAATTTGCCCAAGATCATAGGGTTAGTAAGTGACAGGGCTGGGACTAGTCCTCTGGTCTGTATTCATCTAGACCACACAATGTTCTCACTCCTCCTAGGCTGAGGCAAACCTTCTTTGTCTTAATTTATTTGTCTTTTCACTACATAGTATCTCTCATATGGCAAAAAGAAGGACTCTGTATCCAAGGTACTGAAAGGCTGAAAAAGGAAGGTGACAAGAAGAAGCAAACACAATTTGGTGATTGTCTTTGGGCTTTATTCATCTGGGTTCTGCCTGCCCAAGCTCCAGAGTTTCCTGAAAGCTGACTCTGCCCAGGGACCAGCATCTTTGCTCAATCCCCACAGTTTTCTGATTATGGCATTCCCACATCCTTGCTTCTGAAGAGCAAGACTTGTTAGTTGGTTAAGACTATGGGTTCCGTAGTACAGCTTCCTAACTTTGATCTTTACTCATCAGTTTACCAACTGTACAACCTTAAACCAGTCGCCATTAAGCCAACTGCAACTCATAGTGACCCCATGTGTGTCAGAGTAGAACTGTGCTCCATGCTCCATGGGGTTTTCAATGGCTGATTATTCAGAAGTAGATTGCCAGGCCTTTCTTCTGAGGCACCTCTGGGTGGACTCGAACCTCCAAACTTTTGGTTAGCAGCTGAGCACATTAATTGTTTTCACCACAGTCTCCAGTATGAGGATAGAGAGAGGAAAATAGAAAAAGGGATTCCTCTCCCACATTTTGGACCAAAGTTCTTCCTGTCAGAGAAAGGATTCACCTCCCTAAGAGTTTTTGGTGCCTGTCCAGCTACTGGTGATGATACCACCTGAGAGTAACAGTTACAGGACTGCAGTTTGCCTGGGGGAAGGACTGACAGAAACAAAGGGAATTTCCCCCACTCTCTGTGAGTGAAGGGTACCCCCTTCCTACTGTTAGAAATCTTTCTGTCCACACCTCATGTGCAGTTCTCAAATTTGGACAGCCTTTGTGTCCAGGTAGGGAGATACAGAAGGAAAAAATAGCACAGGAAACTCACCATCGTATTGATAGTAAGAGTTCTGGTTTCATTTCACAGTACTCTTACTTTCAATTTTTTTTTCTTACATAAACTTTTTATATTAGTTTTATTGTTGTTAAAAATCCTGTTGCCGTCTAGTCAATTCCAACTCATATTGTTGTTGTTAGGTGATATCAAATCAGTTCTGACTCATAGCAACCCTATGAATCACAGAAAGAAACACTGCCCAGTCCAGCACCATCCTCACAATCGTTGCTATGTTTGAGCCCATTGTTGCAGCCACTGCATTCCACTATGCAGAACATTTCTTCCATTCACTTTAGCTACGGTATCCTCAAGGGCAAGTTTCAGAGTCTCTTCGGACATTTTGATCTTTTCTTTCTTTCTTGTCGTTTTAATGATCTTTTTCTTTCTTCATGTATAATGTCCCTGATGTCATCCCACAACTCCTCTGGTCTTTGGTTATTAGTGTTCAATGTGTCCAATCTATTCTTCAGATGGTCTCTAAACTCAGGTGGGATATATTCAAGATTGTACTTTGGCTCTCGTGGACTTGTTCTAATTTTCTTCAGCTTCAACATGAACTTGCATATGAGCAATTGATGGTTTGTTCTGCAGTCAGCCCCCGGCCTTGTTCTGACCATTTTTATTGAGCTTCTCCATTGTCTCTTTCCACAGATGTAGTTGGATTGATTGCTGTGTATTCCATCTGGTGAGGTCCACGTGTATAGTCACCATTTATATTTTTTAAAAAATATATTTTCAATGAATAAGTCATTGGTCTTGCAAAATTCTATCACGCGATCTCTGATGTGGTTTCAATCAAGGCCATATTTTCCAACTACTGATCCTTCTTTGTTTTCAACTTTGTCATTTCAATCACTAGTAATTATCAATGCACCTTGATTACATGGTTGATCAATTTCAGACTGCAGAAGTTGGTAAAAATGTTAATTTCTTCATCTTTGGCATTAGTAGTTGGTGCATAAATTTTAATAATAGTCATATTAACTGGTCTTCCTTGTAGGCGATTGTCTGATTCAAAATGACCATTACCAGTCCATTTCAGCTCACTAATGCCTAGGATATCTGTCTTTTTGTGTTCAATTTCATTTTTGACAATTTCCAATTTTCCTAAATTCATACTTCATACATTCCACGTTCTGAGTATTAATGGACGTTTTCAGTTTTTCTTCTCATTTTGAGTCATGCCACATCAGCAAACGAAGGTCCCGAAAGCTTGACTCCATCCATGTCATTAAGGTCGACTCTACTTTGAGGAGGCAGCTCTCTTCCCCAGTCGTATTTTAAGTGCCTTCCAACCTGAGGGGCTCATCTTCCAGCACAATATCAGACAATGTTCCACTGCAATTCATAAGGTTTTCACTGGCTAATTTGTTTCAGAAGTACATCACCAGGTCCTTCTTCCTAGCCTGTCTTAATCTGGAAGCTCAGCTGAAACCTGTTTACCATGGGTGACCCAGCTGGTATTTGAAATACCAGTGGCATAGCTTCCAGCATCACAGCAACACGCAAGCCACCACAGTAACAACAAACTGACAGATGTGTGGGGTTTCTCATCATGGTATGTCATTTTTACTTTTTTTATTATTTCATATATAAACCAAATCAAACCAATTCCGACTCATAGCGACCCTGTAGGACAGAGTAGAGCTGCCCATAGGGTTTCCAAGGAGCGGCTAGTGGATTTGAACTGCCAACCTTTTGGTTAGCAGTGACGCTCCTAACACTGTGCCACCAGGGCATATATATATATATATA